AGGACTGGGGACCTACAGGCAGTAGTATTCCTAAAGTATATGCGTGCAACTATAGTTACTTACGTGGATAAACAAATGCAACTTAACACCACTAGCTAAAGCTCTAACGTAAACAGATCCTCTTATGAGCATTCAGATTAATTAAGTAATGTATCCGCACCCCTTTTCCCTGGCAAACACCACCGAGATGCAGTGGAAAGTTCCTGGTGCAATGAAGGAGTGAGGGGCTGTATTATTAGATCCATTCAACTCTGGAGGCCGTTTGGTGGACGCTACATTTCATCAAGTACAGTACTTACGTGCAATTTTGAGGTGGATATACTTCATTATTTCCATTTTCTGCTACTTTATACTTCTAGTCCTCTACAGAGGCTAATATTGTACCTTTTACTCCACTACAGTCATTTGGCAGCTTTAGTAACTAGTTACTTTACAGATTCATGTTTGTAATACAGATTATAATCAGCCATTTATGATGTATTAAGGTGACATAAGATCTGTCTATCCATCCATCATCTTTATTTACTCATCCTTGATATCCACCCAGCACTAGGCCTATATAAAGCTATTAAAATTATCTCCACCTTTACCAGCACCAGTAATTATAATCCAATAATACAATATTGTGAAATGAGCCTCTCTGCATAATGAATACATTTAGTACTGCATGCATGCTTGTACAGTGAAGTATCAGTAAAAGGTCTTAATACTATTTCACCACCATCAACTTGCAAAACTCCACTTGTCCTGGCCCCTGAGATGATGGTACCTTTGTGAAGGACAGGACACCGCTGGGGGTGGCGTCCCACTGTGGATGGGTGCTGCTTCAGGATGCACAGCTGTCATTTCAGGTGACACACACCCATTAGAAAACCCATTAACAGGGAAAGCCCTGTTTCATCTGCTGATGTGGAGATACTGTAATATTTGCTTTGTATTTGCGAGAACTTTCATTTAAGGAGCTTTCATCAAATTTAAGATATTTTTCTCGACACGTCTTTAGAAAACTGTCACGACCCAGTGGGTTTTCCCTGACCCCATTTTGGGGAACATCAATCATAGATTTAGCTACTTTCAAGTTACTGTACTTCAGAGAGCTACCGAACGGCCTTCTTGCAGTAACAAGCTGCAGAATGGTTAATACGATGTTCACACATTTCTCTTGACATGAAACTAAGTAAAATTGTCTTTACATACCCTCCGCCCGGGTACGAAGTTCAGACATCGTTCTCTGAACGGGCGGCATCTCTCGACGGCGACAGCACCTGTCAACCAGCCGCTACTTCTGTTCCCTGTGGATGCTTCTTCTTCTCAACCGTCAAAGAATTAAAAAACGGCTAAAATGCAACCGAAGATCCCCTCTCATGCGGGGTGTACCGCTACGTGTTTACTGCCAACAAAGAGGCATTCAGACGAAGTATAACCAACATTCATTTCCCGGCGCTGAGAAGAGCTCACGGCTTAATGTTTCCACTAGCATCCTGGTTCAAAGGACGGACTATAAAGCTCACAGACACCGTCAGTAGCTGAGCCGACTTACCATAAACCGAAGTGACGGGGACGGTACCGCTTCACATTATGGACTGTACCATATTCACCCGCAGCGGGAGGGGTTGCGTGAACGGTCATTTTACCGCGGTTCGGGAAGATTAATCAAGAAAACGTATTTCTCTGAATCCACAACAAAAGACAAAAGCGATGCTATCATAGTCATGGCCAATAATGTTTACAGCATAGACAGGTTTTTAAAATTGGTCAATGCGTTATTCGTTGGTGTGGACACGTCCCCCCTCTGCAGTGGATGTTGACAGAAGACAACAATAGTACACTGGGTGGGAGTTGTCTTAGCACAGTGGAGCCTTGTTCTTGTATAAAAAACTACGTATTTATTTTTTTTATCGCAATGTCAGCAGATGACAGCTTCCACCACTTAACAAAATAACAGACAATATGTGTTCAAACGTGTAATAATATATAATAAATATTTGGTATACATAGAAGGTCTCCACATGTACTGTATTTTGCAGTACATGTTAGTTTATTGACATTTCTTTTTGTGTTTATATATAATATGCATATATAATATGCCATTCTGCATAAAGCATAGGCTACTTTTACTTCAAGAATATTTTAATGTTACTACTTTTTTAGTTTTACCCAAGTAACATTTGGAAAGCAGGACTTTAACTTGTAGCAGAGAATTTCTACAATGTGGTATTGCCACTTTCACAGAAGTGAATGTGAATACTTCTTCCTCCACTGATCACTAAATACATTCCTTAACCCACTGGGAGTGTCATGTTAAATTAAATTTAGATTATATTAAATACTTAACTGACACAAATAAAACCTACAGTGTAACATACAGTAACATATTATAGCTTCAAACATGGAAATTATATTATAAGCGGTATAGATAATGGATGGATGGATCTCTAGCTTACACTCTGCTTTATTTTCCCCATCAGTGTGTCACTCTGCTTTATACAGCAAACTGAGAGACAAACATAGCAACAGTGCCTGCACTGCTGCGACTAAATGGTTGCTGTACATACTGTATAGTAAATCAAATGTGTTCTCATTCTCACTGCAGGTGAAATGCAAATCAAATGAGAGACAGCATTTGTACAGCAGCAGCACCACTGCAGTTGCCTGAGAGAACTGCAGTGTTACTGAAATACTACACTTGTCTGATGTGTATATTGCACTAGCAGAAATGTTATGTCCATATAGAAAGATTCCTTTGTTTTTGCTACATATAGCAAATTTAGGTAATTCCTCTTGTAATTGGATCCATAATTCTTAAAAACATTAAACTGTATTCACTGTTATTGGGATTAGAAAAAGACAGGATTATGCTTTGTATATGAGCAATGCAGTAAATGGCAGCAATCTATGACATCTATAATCACAATAAAATATAATTTATGTTTTCCCCTGTTTCTTTACAACTTAAAGGCAATCGTGTCCTTCTCAACAGCCAAAAACACAGAAAGACTGCTTCATAGCTCAAAATTTACCACATCCAAAAATAAGAAATAAACACCAGAACATCTCCACCTCCTCCTGTGCCTGCTAGAAAGACATGTTTCCCAAAGATTTCCTTTCTTTCCCTCATTTCACCTAATATAACATCAGCTCGCCACCTTGGGGATTTGGCTCTGTAGCTCCCATGGTTGCTAAGCAACAGCAACAAGAAGCCTGCCTCTGCGATTACATATATTACATCACATATCCAGTCCAAACAATGATTCATTCAACCACCCATCTACATTTCTACTACTGTCAAATTCTGACAACAACAGGAGTGTTTTTATCAGATTATTATTATTTTTATCAGCCTGACTTGAAAAGATTTCACTGATACTACCTTCTAACACCTATTTCATTGTAAATATGCATTTTGTTTTGCTTACTACAAATTAACAATCCAGCCAGTCTTTACACAGAATAGATCTTGGGATTTGGATATTAATGGAGATCAGTTCCAGAAATGTACATACAAATTTTAGTTGTGTACAAAAACCCCATCATCATTATTTCAAATTTTATCTCAGTTTTTGGCACATGGCTGCCAAGCCTTTTAGATATCAACAAAGAAATAATATAGCTGTTGTAAATTATTATAACTCAATTATTTGAGTAGCAATAATTAAAAAGAATCTAGACTGCAACCATTGTAATCATTTAAGTTAGCTGTTTGTTTGTTTTTTACAAAGTAAACCCATTTTTATTTTTTTTAGTGAAAACCAAGGATCTTCAGACTTGGTAATTTTGAATTTCTCCGCCATATTGTTATTTCTAAACTGTAGCTTAGTTCTCAAAACCATCTGAAGACTCATAAATTCATTTGGTAAAACAGCTGCAGAAACAGGGTGTGAGACATACAATATCCCCACATTATTCAAAACCACAAAATCTAGTCTCCAATAAACATGACCTATAATGTTTGACTGATCAACTGATTGATGAGCTAAAAATAATGACTGCCATAATTTCTGTCTTGGCCCTGTTTATCTTGCTGTCTGCCTCTGGACCTGTCCTCTCCCACATTCTCATTTCCCCAGACCCTGCATTCCTTTGGACCTTCTCAGTCTGTGCTGTTCTCCATCCAACCAGCAGATGGCCTCAGACTTACTCATCACTTCCACTCACCTGATGCTCCCCACCCACTCACACACCTGTTCCCAGTTACTTTATTATCTCAGCTAGTACTTAATCTGGCTGTTTCTATTGGCTCCTGTCCTGACTGTTGTGTCTCTCCTGTTGTGATGTGGTAGACTCCCATTCTTGCCATCTGTCTGTAAGCCTTGCTCATCATTATTAAACTCGCTTCACTGCACCTGCCTTTCTCATGTAATTGCATGTCAGGCTTTCTGTGTGTGCTGTGTATGGCTGGCTGGGGGCAAGACACCATGACTAAAGGTTCTAGTGGGATTAATGGGCTTCTGATTTAGTCTGGTGTCTTCAGCCTTGATTATGTAAGAATCCTTATTGGATTTCTAGTGTGGTTGTTACTTTTCTGGGATCCACTGATACACAAATACACTATACATTAACAATTTCTTCAATTCTTGACAACAGAAGAGTCTCAGTAATCCTCCTAGTAACCTTCTCCAAAAGCTGTGATAAATTTGCAGTGTTTTTCAGATATAAACAAAAAAAAGGCTGAATAACCAGGCAATATAGTGAATGGTGATGTTTTTAGTTACTGTCTAGCAGTCCTTTACCTCTGCAGGAAAGAAAACTTTGAGTGACTTTACTGCGGCTTAGAAATACTAAGAAAATGAGCAATGCTGCTTAAATCCTGTGTCAGCTTTACTTGATCCTATTCCTGATGATTTTAAAAGGGTAACCAGTTAAAAATAACAGAGCAGCTATTTCCTCACACTGGTTTCTTTGCCACGACAGTGAAACCTGCTAAATCTCCTGTAAGTAATCTAACAATTTTATGGTAGTTTAGCCTCATTCCTTAGAATAAAATCATTTACAACCACAAATCAGAAAAAGGTGGGATGGTATCCATCCATCTGTTATGTGGGTGGTAATGAGGTTAAACAATGAAATGATGATTCCATTTCAAAAAGGTGACTGCAATCATGACTTGGTATAAAAGTGGTATCTAGGAAAGGCCTGGCCTTTTAGGAGCAAAGATGGGCTGAGGATCGTCATTTTCCCACCATATGTGTGAGAAGATTATTGAAATGTTTAAAAACAATGTTCCTCAAAGGCAGATACAGTAGGAAGGGATTTGGATATGTCACCCTCTACGGTGCACGACATAATTAACAGACTCAAGGAATCTGGATTTCAGTGGCTAAAGGGCAAGGGCCAAGCCTGAACTGGATGACCTTGCTCTCCAATCCCTCAGACAGCACTACATCAAGAATCGTCACTGTTCTATAAGCAATATAATCACATGGGCTCAGGATTACTTTGGCACACCTGTGTCAGGCACTATAATACGTAGTTACATCCATAAATGCTGCTTAAAACTTTACTGTGCCAAAAGGAAGCCCTGTGTCAACAGTGTCCAGAAGCACAGTTGACCACTCTGGGCTCTGGGGCATCTGGGATGGACAATCACAAGCATGTATTGTGGTCGGACTAATCAGTATTTCGGGTCTTTTTTGGAAGGAATGGACGCTGTGTGCCCTGGACCAAAGACAAAAAGGACCATCCAGAATGTTACCAGGAACAAGTCCAAAAGCCAGGGTCTGTCACGGTCTGGGGTTGTGTCAGTGCTCTTGGCAAAGGTAACTATGATGACCCCATTAATACTGAAAAATACATATCGATGTTGGAGCAACATATGCTGCCTTTATGACAATGTCTTTACTGGGGACGTCCATGCATATTTCAACAAGACAATGCAAAACCTCATACTGCACATTACCAAGGCCTGGCTGTGGAGGGAAAGGGTGTGAGTACTGGACTGGCCTGCCTGCAGGCCTGACTTCTCCCCAGTAGAGACAACAATGACCCAGGACTGTTGCGCAGCTTAAGACTTGTTTGCAGGATGAATGGGACAAAATTACACGTGACAAAATTAATCACTTGGTGTCCTTGGTCCATAAAGGTCTCTTAACTGTTGTGAAAAGGAACAGCAACATCACACTGTGGTAAGTGATTTACTGTCCCAACTTTTGTTGGAATGAGCTGCAGGTGTCAGAATTGGAGTGTGTTTATTTTGAACAAAGAATAAAATAGATGAGGTATCACATCAAATAATGTGCTGCTGTATTGTCCAATGTAATACAGGACACCGGTGAGTTACACATCACTATTTTCAGTTTTAATTTTGATTTTACATATTGTCCCAATTTCTTCTGATTTGGGGTTGTAAACATACTGTAGCTTGTTTTTTTACTTTATATTATATTATAGGGACTCTTAAAATTGGCTTTTATATTCACTGCAGTATTGAGAGGACACTTAAACTGTGAAAATACAGATGACTGTTTCTCATTTTTGTCTTTAGACTGAGGAATAACTTTTGATGTTCTTAAAAAAAATGTCCACCAAATCTGTGGCTTCAATGCTTCTGATGTTCAGTATTTTCAGATTACGCTAATCTTGCTCACTTGGCTTGTCATCGATTTTAAAATGAATCATTGCTCTTTCTCTAAAGCTGCACCCTTCATCCTCTGCCTGCAGCTCTTCTGGGGTGACTGGGGAGTGTGACATTTAACTGTAATTAGATTGCATTCTGCCCCCTTGTGGATGTGGATCTCTGGTCAGGATAGGGTAAGGTCCCTTGAGGGCCCGCTAATCAAAAATCATGAGTCACAGCGGAGTCATTTTTCTACACCCTACTCACAATAGTTGATTAATGTGTGCAAATCATCTTGTCAAGACACATTTCATGGTTTATAAATGGTAAGAGTTGGTTATTGGATAACATCAATACTAACCTCTCTCAAGCTCTGGATGAAGAGAGATCAGTCTAATCAGTCTCACTACAACAACTGAAAAATATACTGAAAATCAGTAATATAATGATAAAAACGTACAAATCACACCGGCAACCTGCTAGATCTGGTTATTCAAACTGCACAAACCAAATCTGCAAAACCTTTTTCTACTACCAAAACAATATAATATATTTTTGAAACTATGCAATATCATTATTCATTATCTTTAATTTTGAGTGTTTTCAGGCACAAAAGATATTTAAATTACCCACAACACCTTGATACCCACTTCACCCCTATTCTTTGATACTTCAAAAAAGTATTTATCTATAAAATCAAAATACAGGCAATAAAAATAAAATATCCCTAAATAAATAGCTTTTGTTTAGTTATTTTTTATTTAGCACATTTAGCAGCATAAAAATGCAGATGGTGCAATATACATTTCTGTCAATGGTTTCACACTGTTTCACTTATCTAAAGGTGGTGGTAATGTGCCAAGAAAAGCAGCAACGCACCATCAAAAACAGTGAAGAAGACTGTTGGATCAGGCTGAGTGAGGGTGGAGGAACAAGGAGCAATCATATCCTGTAAGAGACCTGATATGCAGCCGATGTAAAACTGGCTTTGCGAATGTTTTATGAGGAAGTAAATGCATTCATGTATGACCTCACAGGAAAATAAACAACCAAACAACTGTGAAGTGGCAATATTTTTTCCAACTTCCACTTCAAACTAATGAATAGTTCCCGGACAAAGACAGAAAAACAAAAATCTTTCATGTGAAAAAAACAAAGCTTTGGCAGAAAATTGCAACTTGTGCCCTCAGTAAGAAACTGATTGGAAGAAAACAGGTTTCAAGAAACTTAAAAATGAGAGTCAAGGATAGATACAAGACTATAACAAAACATTCTGTATATAATCAAGTTCTAAGATTACATTTAATAAATAAAGCTGATCCTGCCATCAACAGCTCTGCACTCGGTAATTTTCAAGTTTGGCCACTCTAATGGCACCTAATATTGGTTATTAACAGCAATAACATACAAAACTGCTGTAATGTCATTATAATTAAAGAGAGTTCACTCACTTTGGATCAGTAAAACCTGGAACCACAGCAGGACTCAATACTACCTCAGCCGCAGGATGTCAATAAATCTTAGTTTGACACATTAGACTTTCCCATGATGGATTTTCTCTAATGATCAGCACGAGGTGACAGTTAATGCTGTGTCATGTGGTGTGTGTGTTTGTAGCTCTTACCTCAGGGGCCAAACTCCAGCACTGAAACAGAGTGGTGCTGTCACTGCTATAAGCTGAGGTGTCACATGTCCAGGGAGATGCTTCATCACGTGTGACATGAAATAAACTTGCCAAGGTATCTGTGGACATGCTGCTGTACTGTGACACTGTGACACATTATATGGTCTGGTCTGTTCTTGGAGGATGACCAGTGAACACCTGCACTCACACTTTAGGTGTAACACAATACGCAGTCAGTGAATATCCACTTAACATCATGCAGTCATGTGTGTGGAAGATGTCAGAATATTTTACTTGACTTTATATTAGATACTAAATAATAATAAAGACAAAAAGGTCATTGCACCTGAAAAAAGTTCCAGTGTGTTACTGAAATTGAACTTTGTAACTAATGTCTGCTCTATTTAAAGTTGCACTGACTAAAATTTGACACATATCAAATGAAACTGACAGAGGACGTGGTGAATCCCAATTCCTCTAACGGCATCCGTATGTCCCTCACCTGTGTCTTTCCTTGCATCTTATTCATGTCCACTTAAGACACAAGGAAAAGGTGCAAGGACAAACTGCAAGGAGAGAGGAATGAGGAAACATGTTTTAAGTGGCATGATATGTCCTTTCCTGTGAGCCTTCATGTGAATTGTCCAACCACAAACTACAGTATATAAATAAAGGGGGTGTCAATTTGTAAGCACTCATATACTCAGTTATAGCTCCCCTAGGCAGCCTCCTTGCCCCTTGGTCCTCACTCCTCAGAGCAGAAATAAGAGCTTTAGGATGTCCTTCATCATGGTGGACTGGGATGACTTTTTTCTCGACTGAAGGCAGCATTTTGTAGAGTATGTCACCGCCGGGCACCCATAGTTTATGTCAGCAAAGAGCTGTTAGGAGTAGCTAGAGGCTCACCAGACCCTGTAGTAGCTGAGGAAGAGTAGCTTTATATTTGAGTACTTTCAGAAATCCATCTATCTATTTTAACATAGATGCTAAACTCTTGGGGCCTTGAATGTCAAATGCTAGCATGACTAAAAACGATGTAAGGTTGTGTGTGTATGTTAACTAAGGTATAGTGTTGCTGAGTGCTCAGTAGGGTGTATAGCAACCATTCCTTCACTCTAAACAAAAACCTCATCTACATTAATAATAAATAAAAACCTGAATAAATCTTGAAATGCAGAGTAGTTGATGTAGTTGATGCAGTTGCAGTCAACTGTCATCTTATCTCTGGATGGAGAAATGTTTGGTTGTTCACATATGATGTCAGGCCAATAAAAGTTGGTGAAAACTCTGTAAACTGTGATGAATAATTTAAAGACAACTATCACTTTACTTGAGATTAGCTTGCTATGTTGCCATGGTACAAATACATGTATTATTTACTGACTGTGTGGCTCTGACTCTAAGGCAGCTTACGGGCTCTCAGACATTTTTAGATCTGTTCACACAGTGAGGATTAAATGTGCTACTAATCCTTGGATACAAAATAGGGCTTCTGAGCTGCATGTTCACCTCCGAATGAGAAGCAAAGAGCTACACTGCCTTGCTGTGGACTGTGTAATGTGGCAGAGGGTCTGCAATAGAGGGGGCAATGATGATGGCAGAACAGGAAAAGCCACAGAAGCGGGTGAGGTTCCGCTTGGCTTCGGGGAACAGCGGCAGGGTGCTGAAGGAGATGTTCAAGGATGAGGGGCCCTCAGACTCCCTGGATTCAGACTGCACCAGCAGCTCTGATGCTGAGCGGGCTAGTACCCCCTCTACAAATGGAGATGCACATGGATACCTGGGCTCCGAGCTGGATGATAGTGAGAGTGAGCCTGATGATCTGCTCTTGTATGCTGGGGCCACCAAGGACTGGATGTTCACAACCAAGAGGATTAACATACTCAGTAAAAATGGGACTGTGAGAGGGGTCAAGCACAAAGTCAGCGCAGGTCAGACACTGTTTGAAAACCTTCCCAATTCCAACAGTGTAAGTACATCTGGCTGGGCTTAGTTTTTCTTAATTGCTGAACATAACCTGTTGCATAAAATCACATTATTGATTCAATAACTTTAACTCTAACTGTCATTAGTGTTGTCCTTGTCCTCGGGTCTAGTTGCAGGTAGGCGCTAGACAGCACCAGATCACAGATCAATTAAAGATTAATGGTGCATATCGTTAAGTTTCAAAAGGAACTCATCAAGGTAATGAATTCTCGGCACTTCGCTTTCTAGTATCCCTGAACAAAGACCTCTTGGCCCATGTGCTGATGCAAAGGTGACAAAGAAGGTCATATCCAAGCATCACTGTAGACTAAATAAAACATCTCATCATGATTAAGTGAGATTATCTTTCTCTTAAGGTAAAATTTAACAATGAGGTGAATCAGGTTGGTCTGATTCTAAAAGAACGTTGTTTTATCAATTTATAAATCATTTTACATGATCAGTTGTTTTGCAAATCATGTCATAGTTTCATACATATTTGAGTGTTTTCATTTAGTTTCATGTAGTTTTAATCATTAAATAATATATTTACCATAGTAATACTGTGTAGATGTTACAACTCAGTCCACACAAGCACCAACAATAGCATTCAATAAAAATATTGACACATAAATATTTGGATTGACTACCTACAGTGTCTCTGCTCAATCTAAGTTTCTGTTTAGTAACTTGAGTTTCTCTGTTGAAATAAACTGAAACCAAAGGCTGCCCAAAAGAGAAGGAAAGCACATAAAAAAGTGTAAAACTCTATGGCGTACTTTGGGAAAGTCTTGAAAGCTATGCAAATAACATATCTTGTTCACTTTTGAATGAATGGATTAGTCATAACACACTATCCAAATGAACCATTTTACTATCCCAGTGTGAGTGTGAGAACAACTGATTAATTTGCATATAGAACAAAAGAGTAAAATCACTGCTTTTACCAAAGAAATTTGTACCGTATTTATGCCTAAGATTTTGGTTCAGTACAATTTTGATTATTTCTGACTTTCTGATAGTAAACTACAAAGAGTTCCCACTCAGAGAGAGACCTGGATCAAGACAAACAAAAGATAAATATAATTATTTGTCTACATTTTGGATTTTTATTGCTGTAGATGGAGTTATCTCTTGAGTTTGGGCGGATAGTGATCTACACAACAAGCTTTCGTGTGGTCAGGACAACCTTTGAGCGCTGCGAGCTGGTCAGAAAGATTTTCCAGAACCACAGGGTGAAATTTGTAGAGAAGAACATTGCCCTGGACAGCGAGTATGGAAAAGAGCTAGAGGAGCGGTGCAAGCGTGTGGGAGAACCTCCTTCTTTACCAGTTGTGTTCATTGATGGACACTATCTTGGGGTCAGTTGTTATTGCTCATTTCCAACATCATCTGACATCAATATATTGCAGAAGCACACTGAGGGTTCAATTTGTTTTGCAGGGAGCTGAGAAAATACTCAGCATGAATGAATCAGGAGAGCTTCAAGATCTTCTGACAAAAATTGAGGCAAGTTTTCAGTATCTGAAGATTGAATATATGATTTTCCTGTGGATCGGGTTGAGTCACTCACCTGACGCATATTGATAATTATTCATTCATTTGCTGTTTAGGTTTACTGAACAATGTTATATATGTGTGGTAGCACATACATTAAAGCATAAAGTGGTTATAAAGTCATAATAAATTAACACTGTTTTTCTCCAAAGCCACACAGTGCAAACAGTAGCAGTCAGTTCCCTTCACTAGTCAACATGAGTAAAGGATTCATGCACATCAATAACTATCCATCAATAATGGAGGGCTTGGTAGGCTATCGATTATGCTCCAACACATTTGTTCAAACACACCAACACAGAGTACATCACTCTGCTGTAGAGGCTGGGATTGTGTAAAACATTTTATGATTCACATTGAGCTAGAGAAACAATAGTTACACAAGCACTGGCCTTTTCTTAGGTCTCAAAAAGCTGTAGGCCCGTGTCTCCTTTGAAAATCACTGAATTGACTGAACTTTCCTGCAGACAACCCCCACAAAACCACAACATGCCACTTTTACACTTATTTTTTAACAGATTAAGTCATTCAACATATCCAAAATTGTAACATGCTACTTAGTGAGCTTTAGAATGTGTGTAGGCCATCTTTTCCTTTTGGACAACAAAATACTAGCTGTTATGCCTTGTTTCCAGTTAAGCTAAGCCAACTGGCTGCTAGCTAGCTTCATATTTAGCATACTGTCAAGAGAATGTTATAGATCTTATCCGATTCTAGGAAAGACAGTGAACAAGTGTATTGTTAAAAATGTCAAACCATTCCTTTAAAATCTCCAAATTCAGATAATTTGAAAGCTTCTATCTCCAAAGTGTGGGCTTCAAGAAGTGAAAGAAGTCATGTTAATTTGTGCAACGGATGTTTTTGAAAGTCTGTATTTAATATTGGATATCTTATCCAGATCATATAAAAATATGCACACATTTCTCCAGAGGGTACAGCATCCCCAGATGTGCCAGACCTGTGGGGGCTTTGCCTTCATCCCATGCCTAATGTGCCATGGCAGCAAGATGTCCGTGTTTCGCAACTGCTTCACGGATTCCTTCAAAGCCCTCAAGTGCACTTCCTGCAATGAGAACGGCCTGCAGCCTTGTGTGAGCTGCAGCCAGTGAAGATGTCAAGTGCCTGACCCAACATCCCTACTTCCTTCTCTGAGAGCTTGTAGGATTCTGAAATGGACTACAGCACAGGCAATGTAATGAAACATAGCAGGACTCTTCTTCCAAGGCCATTGCTAGTATTAAACAAAGGAATTTGTAATAAAACCTGTAAATTTGTGGATTTTATATTGTTGTTATGGATGTGTTGAATCTCCATGTAATTCATGATATGAATGTATTAATTCATCATAAGCTAAAGCAAATAACCACATTTTTTCCATCAGATTATTGCATAATTCTCATTGAAATGATTCTGTCTGGGTCTATAAACACATCTGAACTACTTTCACCTGTGGTAAACTTAAGCTTGTTTGTTAATTAGTCAGAGGAAACTCCTTCATTAACAATGTTCTCATTACTAATCCCATATCAAACAGAGTTAAGGAAAAGGGACTCTCAGAACAGAGAGGGAACGTCAAGGGTTCAGTTTGAAACCTAGACCTTTAGCAAACATCATTAAAACCTGACATAACATTTTACTTATTTGACAAAGTGTGACAAGCAGACACCTCATATCAATGCATTCAAGTCACAGAGCTACACAACTGAAATAGTATTTTCTAATGCAGGTAGGCTGAAATAATTTATGCCTGCTCTTTAAGTATGAAACCATATTGGAAAGAAACATCAATCCAATACTATAGGGCTGTAAATAATAAGACAATGATAATGCCTATTACAATATGTTAGACCAAACCAATTATGACCAACAAACCAACCCCCATGTTCAATTTACTATAACGGATAATATCAGGAAGCAGTGAATAATCACAATTGACAATTTGAAACCATGAAATGATATTTTGATGGTTAAAATAGCTGTTAATTAATAACTGGCAAATCAATTAATTCACTAGGCCTATAGGATGCAGTGATTTGGGATGCAGTCACAAGTTCGCAAGTTTAAATGATTAAAAACAGCTTTTAATCATGCAAAAATATATTTGGAAGATTCTGGAAAATTCTGGTATTATCCCGACGAACATCCTTAAAGGTCTCCGGGTATGTTTTCGGAAAACGTGGCTCGTTGGGGTTCAACACCGTATTTCTGCTAGAAAGGTTCACTGTAGGTCTGCACCGATGACTCCAACCCCAGGTTTGACTACATGAACAGGAAAATTAAAAGACAAGTCGCTGTGGAGCCAAGAACCCATGATGCAGATCACGTGCATTCCTCGCCGGTTTGGGTTTTTAACGGATGATGTCATCTGCTGGATGCCATCCCGGGAAACGCAGCGCCTGGCCGAGCAGCTCTCTATGCTGTCATAGCCCTGTACAATGCTGCTTGAACATGATCAGACAAGGCAGCACTGTAAAGAGGCTAAAAGCGTAGAGCAGGGCGGTGGTGGTGATGGCCATCCGCCATGAAATCTTTTCATGCCATCCGGTTGTTCTAGATGCTCCTGTACCTGCGATAAAAAAAACAGCAACCAAGTCGGTTATTTAAAAGAATAGGAAACACAAACACATGCATTCACACGGTGCATAAAGCAGAAACGGCTAATGAGGGTAGGTTTCCTGCAAGGGCAATGGGAGGTGATTACACTGCTGCACAAAATCTCGTTTCTTTAATTCAATTCCGCATCGAAGAATGATGGGATTTGGGTTCTACAGCCACAGGCTTGTGGTGGAGGGGAGGGGGCATCGAAATCTGAGACCCCATTTGTGCAGGTCTACTGCGCCCCCATCTGTGTGCTGCTGGAGTCGAAAATATTGTAGAGGAAAAACGGGGTGTATCGAAAAATATTACAATAATGTTTAAAGTCGGGTACAAAATCCTCTGATGAATAATAATGAAAGCAGCGATATGTTGTGCAGAAGACAGCGGGAGGACTGAAGCTGCTTGGTGATCTCCAGGCGTGTCACAGGCGCGTCTCGACGCATGTTTCTTTTATAATGAGCCAAATCCGCTTGAGGATCTGGCTTCTGTTGTTTTAATCAACGTGCACAAACGACCTTCCTCTGAGGGGAGACATGGAAGGAAACAAGATGGGCAGTGGCATTGGCACAACTGATTTGGGAATGGTATGACGAGACATGACACTGATATGCGCGCAACACCCAAAATGTTAAGACAACATTCAATGGTCAAAAACCTGCAATGGAGTTTGTCCGCATTGTCGCCGCTCTCCGGGGTCGGTGAAAAATGAGTGCAGTCGAGTAGACTAGCGTGATCCGGCCGCGAAGCTGTGCGTAATGTTTTGAATGCTCGGTCAATGCGCAGACTGGTTGAAAATGACTGTTTTTATTGACGTCAGCGTTCATGGTAGTGCCCCCCCTCTCTGTCATTTCTACAACTGCACCATCTAATGGACTTGGTTTTACATTCCAGTCAACCATCTAGGCTTTAAACAGGAAAAAGGCCTCTCATGGAAAAAAACCAGGGCTTGAAAATGTACCTTTATGGTCCCAGAGGTGGCCAAACGGATAAAGGCCTTCAATGGACACCTACATGTGTCACCAGCGCTGCTGTTACCATCTGTGTGGGGGCTCCTACACCCTGACAAGCTAATGGTCTGGTACAGTCCTTCGTACTATACATAAAGTATGTTTTCATAACAAAAAGTGGAAAAAAAACCCCAATGAACTGCATGACAGAAAAAAATAATTTATTAAATTATTTAAAATGAATCCAGCTCTTAACAGTGGCACATCAACACAACCAAAGGAGTGCTCAGCAGAAACACTGTTAGATAATTCACTGGTCATTTTGGTACACTTACTGTACAAGGCAACATCCTGAATTATTAAAACTGTTTTACATTGACAGAGGCAGGTGTAGGTCAGCACTGAGGAAACCTGTTTCACCGTTTTTGTTATCAGAGGCCATTTCTTTACACTTGGTGGAAAAGGCAAAGGCATCTGGATCCCTCCAGTGCACGTCTTTCCTCTTTGGAACAATTCAACCAGTCATCTGCTGATCAGCTGCCAATGTCACAAGCCCAAGTTCTTAAATCTCAAATTTAGAAGACATCAGATCAGTGTGTAGTGTGTGCTGGCAAAACAGAGGTGGGTAGAGGAGAAAATTGAGTGCCACTGCCTGAAATGTCATTGCTTAATTTGGAAGGATGTCCACTC